TCCTCATAAGTATTTATAATAGCAGTTGAGAAACAATAAAGATCCATAGGCACTATTTTTTTTATAAGAAATTAAAGTTCAATTTTGAACAAAATTTATCAAATTGATAGTTGACAAATAACTATTTTGTAAATAAAAATTTATAAAATGTTCAACTTTCATTGCTAAGGATTTAAAATTTAAAACAAGAGATCTCATAAATAGTTCATACTGTAACCAAAAAATCTAAATAATCAATTAAACACACAGTTAAATTTTACAGATATTATTAGTTCAAATTTGGAAGAAATTACTTATTAAAACAAAGAATAGCGATTTTAGATATTTTGTTGCAATTTAAAAATTGTAGGTATTCGTGGATGGGGGTTTCCGTTTTCCGCCAAAATTACCCTCGGCCGTTATCACCATGGCCGTTTTCCGCCAAAGGTTATATTCCGATTTCCGCCAAAACAAATTGATAAATTTTTTTTGAGAACCCCTGAACTGAATCCATCAAAATCAAATAGTGTTGATTCGATGTACGCGCTATTATTATAGCGATATCGGCGGATAATTCACGGATTATTGTTCGCTATCAGTCTGCACCTGTCAGTTGAAACCGCGTTCTATAAAAAAGTTTCTATAATGTCGGAGAATATACCCAATATTGAAGTGATAACCAGTAACCGCGGTAATATTATGCTAATATACAACAATTTTAAATTTATACATGCGTATACATCTAAAGACGGCATTACTCGGTGGAGGTGCTACGAGAAAAAATGTACTGCTAAAATTTTTACAAAAACGAATTACGTACTAGTCAAGGTTGAAGGAAGTCATGCAGCAGATCATAGTGCTATCGATAGACGTCTAATTGACAGACAAATTATCAATTCAGCCTGTAAGCGTAAAGCGGTAGAAGATGTAAGTATGAGGCCCAAAAAAATAATTTTACGGGAAATTGGACAAAGCGTATGTACTAATATTTCAGTTAAAGACGTAGATCGTGTACGAAAAAATATGTATGAAAGCCGACGAAAAATTCTTCCGGCTAATCCAACTTCTATACAATCTATGCACGACTCTTTACGAGATATGAACATTTTGACAATGCAAGGTGAACCGTTCTTATTATTAAACGATGATTCTAAAAATGTTTTGATTTTTTCATGTGCAAAAAATTTAAAATTCTTATGTGATGTCCAAACTATATACATGGATGGCACTTTCCAATACAGTGCTAGATTTTTTACTCAAATGTATACAATTCATGGGTACAAAAATGGGCATTATGTACCACTTGTATTTTGTTTGCTGCCTGAAAAAAAACAGATTTGTTTTGGCGGAAATCGGAATATAACCTTTGGCGGAAAACGGCCATGGTGATAACGGGCTAGGGTCAATTTGGCGGAAAACGGTTACGCCCTCGTGGATTCATGAAACTTTTAGAGTATATCATTATAATTTATACACCTACACGATGACACTGTCAAATGTAATTGTTTGGGCAAAAATTGCTTTAACCTACTCTTGTACAAATGCATAATAGTAAAATAAATTACTTTAATCACAACATTATTTATAACTGTCTTTGCTCAGAATCGTTTTTCGTTTGTATTTTTAAAATTTATAAATGAATTTATTATTATAATATTATTAATAATTATATTAATTAATTTAATACTATATACCAATAAATTATATATTAATTAATAATTTTTGAAACATTGTATTCGAGAAAATAAAAAAAAATGTGATTTTAATTAGTTTTGTAATGTACCCCCACCTATATGTAAAAAATAAATTAATATAATAATAACTGTTGAATTTTTAGGGACTCATTCGTGTACGTATTACACTATATTTATATATATACGAATATATCAGTATATTATTCATAAGTGCGCACACGGGAGGATATGCAGACATGCAGTTGGCCATTCGTGAACTTTTATGTGTACATGATGGTTATACGTCCCTACTTCCTATGATATAGATATTAGGTGAGCAATAGAAGTTGAGTAGGTATGTTACACTAAGTTAATAGTTACCCATAACTTATAACGTTGGATTTGAAAAAAAATGACCAGTTATAAATTAAAATTGTATTTTATGACTATTATCAGTTAAAACATATATTTCTATAAATTAAACCAAAACATATGTCTTTTTCAAGTAAACAATTTTCATATTCACCTATTAATTACAATTATTCTACGACCGGGGACTGGAAAAACAATTTATAAAGTATGCGTCTACAATAACACATTTTTTGTGACATTAAATATTTATCTTAATTCTTAAAAGTAAATTTAAGCCCCAAAAGAATATGAAAACAAATTTACTTTAAACATCGATTCTTTCGGCTGAATCCGTGACGTGTGTTCACTGCGAGGCTGACGAGGAAAATCTCCATAATATACAGAACTTAAAATATTGTGATTTATGAAAAATAAAATTATACGGAACGCAGTAAGTTTTTTGCTCATATCGGCTTTGCATATTGAAATTTTGGAATTTTTAATGACGACTGTGTCTTCTGCAATGACTGTGAGATTTGCCATGGAATATAAATGATAGATATTATACTAGGCACGTCAATATGATGAATCCACGGATATCATATAGGTAACGCAACTTTTATATCAAAGAGTTCCGTGTGAAGGAACAATATTTGTTCGTTGAAATTTTATATGGCAAAAATCAAAATAGTTTATAATTTTTAATTTCAATTATAATCACCTCGATAATCACATTAAATATGATATATTATTTTAAAATTTATTAATATGGTGAATATATATCAGAAGTACAAGCATATTTTTATAAAAGCATATAATATTGTATTTTAAAAATCATTAAATGAAAATGTGATTCCTGGATTTTAGAGTTAACATAAAGATATACAGTGCCTAAGTACATTACATTTACAGTACCTACCATAATACCAACTAGATTTGTAAAATTCCAAGTCTAACATTTCCTATGAATACTGCTGATCACAAAATTATTAATTATTATTTAATATTATGTTAATTTAATTGTGTCGGGTACCTATAATTTATATTTTAGATTCTGAGCGGAGCGATGAATATTTTGATTTTACTATGATGTGTATTTAATTTTTAATTTTTTTTTTATTATTTCTATTTTGTGTTTGATGCGTACACGATAAGTAGGTAGTCAAAATAAACCTTCGTGTTCCATGCATAATATATTAAAGGTACTCTGTATGTAATCAATGATCATAGTTTTATTTTTAAGTTTCTTTGTATTTAGTAAATAATAATATAGGAAATTGTATTTTCGAACATTAATTTTTTGTTTGTAAGTATCAAATACTTTCACCATAATGGGGAACTAAAATTGTCATTTATCGTTAAAACAACAAATTTTGTGAAAAATTCAATTTTGGTAGGTAGGTAAGTGTTTTGTGTAGGCATAATAAATGTTACATTAAAATTTAAAAAATTCAAAAAATTACATTAATTGGATTATTAATTAGAATATAGGTACTACGGTTTCCAGCTTCTACTACAGCATTACGTTATATTATGTTTTTAATTATTAAAATGCCTAAAAATAAAACGTAAATCCCTAAATAATATGAAATTATGAAAACAAACTTACGCTGAAACATCGACTCTCCCGGTGAAACCTAGCTAGAGTGCATCATCAACAATGCAAACGTCCAGTACGTGAAGCCACCGAAGAAACAGCTATCTTCATCTCGTTCCGAACTGTAACTTGGAATTATCGAAATATTTTATGAAAATTACCTGAACATAACGAAATGTGCGAATTCGTGTTAAAACTTACATAATAATGTATACGGCTTAACGAACTATCTGTCCATATTGATGGCTTATTATTTTTTTTTTCACTAAAATTATTAGAATTGTTAATCGTCGCAGACGAATGTCGACAATTGGCGATTGCCATAGATGATATAAAATATATTTTTTAATATGATAAATACATAGAACTTCTACACTCAGCACATAAACGGTCTATTGATAAATCGTTTGTTGTTTTACAGAAATGATTGTGGTCTGCAATGTAAATGCAGTTTCATTGGTACTAAGAATTATATACTTGCTAGCATGAGTCAACTAGTCTACTTTATTCATACGTAGGTACCTAACAATAAATTAGTAGATATACAAGCTACCACACTAGGGTAGTAGGGTTTTCAAATTCTGGGGGGGCTACTTCCCACCTAACAAAACTGTTAATTAAAAATACCCATAGGGCTTATATCTAAACCAATAATTGATAATTTTGGGCTGGCTAAATCATACTCAGGGGACTAACCGTCCCCTAAGCCCCACCACGTTGCACCATCCGGATTAGTGGCTACTGTGAATACCACGAGAAACATAAATATTAAATGATCACTAATTATTCTCATTGATAATCAGTTTTTATAATTTTATTAAACATAATACAATATAGGTATACGCATTCTAAGCATACACACTACGCAGCCAACCTAAAATAAATACATTGTTATACTTATAAGAAATTATAAAAATATTTTTAAAAGTGAAAAAAAATATCAGGCATTTTTAATGTGAAATGCCTACTCATTTGTTCTTCATTCACCGCCTCATATTATTAAATTTACTTATTGTACACACATTGGTTTATCAACAACCAATGATATTTTTTTAGCTACATATTATACCTTCAAAAACATGTTGAGTACTCATGACTTTTTTATTATAAAAATATTTATAACACTTAATACATACAGTATTTTATGCTCAGAAATATATAATTTTCAAAACGTTAAACATAATTACAATTTACATTATATAATATAAAAAGGGATAAAGTATATTAGAAAGGCTTGGGAACATAACTTTTAACAAAATTAAAATGTTTTCTCAAAATAATGTTATTTATAAATAAGTTAAAATTAAAATAGATAAAATGATAATACAATAGATTATCAATTTAAAGTTTAAACATGTTATTATGTTATATTATATTTTTGATTATAATATTTAAATATTCTAATGGGATCTAGCAATTTCTGAGAAATACTGTAATAGATCTTCAATGGAAAATTTTAATGAAATCATGGAACCAGGATTCTTGCATAGGTCTCCAAACCACCTGAAAAAAATTTAAAATTATAATATAGATTAAATTACATTTATTTTATTATAAAGGTAAAAAAGGTAGGTAAGTGTGTGCCGTTCTGCTGTACAGTGGATCACTCTAATGGATGGTGTTAAATTTGAACTCAATGATATAATATCATTGTATATGAAAAACGATTCTGAGCGAAGACAATCAGTCAGCCATTGATATTACTAAGTATATTTGATGATATTATTGTAAATTCAGTAATTTATTTACCTATTTACGTGGAACCTTATTATAAATTTTCAATCCTTAGCTATAAAAGTTGAATATTTTGTAAATTTTTAACTACAACATAATTTTTTAATTTTGACAAAATTCAAACTTTCCATGCTTGTGAAAAAAAATTGTGTGTATGAATTTTTAATATTTTCAACTGCTAAAGTAACTAATATATCAGGAACCTTGAATTAAATTTTCATACTTTTTGACTCAACAAATAAAATCGTATTGACTATTATAGAAAATAAAACAAAAAATTGAAAATTGAAAATGGCCGTAAACAGCTCAAAACGAATCAAAAGATATTGAAAGTTTTATGGTGTATACTGTATAGAAAATGTCAATATAAATATTCAATCAAAATTCTATGTATTTATGCTCATTTGTTTTCGAGTTACACCAAAAACCAAAATCAATTTTGTCAAAAACCGATTTAGCGTAAAAATTTACGTTTTTCTTATTTTTTTTTTTTTTTTGTTTTTCTGATGTTTTTGAAAAATACTAGTAATTTTAAATTTTGACATCCTTGATGCAATGCACCAACTAGATTCACTTTTCCATCAAACAAGATACTGAAGTTGAAAATCAAAGCATTATTTCAACTACTTGTAGTGTACACACACAAACAATAAAAAAATTTAAAAGAACACATCATTGTAAAATCATTGATCCGCTCAGAATCCAAAACAAAATTGTTTAGTCTTGGGTATATTAATCAGTACAAAATATAGTTAATGCAAATAATAAAATAATATTGTGGGTTCAAAAATAATAAATGGTTTATGATGAATAACAAATAATTATATAATTACATAATTAACAATTAATAATAATTATTTGTAGTAAATTTTCTTCTTCACTAAGGTGTTTTTCTACTTTTTTATATAAATGATCGAAGCCTTTTTTCACCTCTCGTCCATGATACTCTTTAGTTACTTTCCTTAATTCTTGTTTACTGAAAGCCACTTGATAACCAACTTCTGATTCTTTTATACCTTGTGAAACCTTAGCTTCAACCTCAAAGAATAACTAAACAATTTTAAGGTGATAGACAAAGTGTTCGAAATTAAAATCCATTTTATAGTGGTTTTTCGTAATCTTTCGGTGGTTTTTCCAGCGGCAATAATTAATAACTATTGATAAAGTCGAAAAATGACCTCTTTAAGGTACCTACCATCTTGATCCAATTTGCTAAAAAATAAAATAAGTACTATATGTTGAAATCGAAGCACTCCTTCTGGTAAAAATTTTGTATACAGGATAAAAAAAAAATAATAAACATCATTTTAAAACCACTAATTAAAATTAAAAGAGTGTAAAAATATCATTTGTATGTAGTATTATAGATAATCTATTTACTCGTAACTATGTGCAAATTATATATGAATGGGAATTTGATAAAAGGGAAACTATAGTTACATTTTTGACAAAAATAGTTTTGTTGTATATTATTCATCCTCTTATGTAAACACATATTATAAGCTTATAATTTGTAAATCAAAGACTGATTCAATAAAATTAGGTGCATAAGTTTTTCTTTTTTCTTTAATTTTAATAAAAAAATATTGTTTTTTTAAGATTGTTATTCAATTGTTTATATTCAAAATTTGTTATTTAGTAGCATTGTTATCTATTTAATTGGATAAAATAAATATTTTATAAGTATAAAATAATAAGTATTTTATCATTTTAAAATGTGACTATTATATTAAATTATGATACCTTAAATTAATAAAATTATTAGAATTTTTTAAAAAGTACCTATGTTACATTACAAAAATCCGTTACTTATAAAAATACAAAAAATTTTTAAATAATTTTGTTTTTGCCATTTTTTTTTTATACAATACTATTTAATCTTAATTGTGATGATTGATCTTATTACGCAAATAGAAAGAAAGGAAAACTGTTTTTTGTTTCACCTGAAAAGTAGTTGAAAATGTACATGGGTCTTTTAACAAATTGCAAAAAAATAACCAAGTACCTACCTACATCATATTTTAATGATTTCGGTTATTGATAATTTACATTATCAGATTTGACTATAAAAATAATATTACCATAATAGATGTACAATTTTTTTTAAATATATTAATAGAGTTAAGTTAAATATACATAAATTTAAAAAATAAAAATTGTAGTTAAATAATTTTTATATAATATATAATATAATATTAGATGCATAGCTGTGTTATAGATATAAATCAGTGGGTAGAGGGGAATTTTTAATAACAAAAATAATTATATTCAAATTAAACTATCTATTGCTATTATACATGTTAAATAATATGTTAAAAAAACAATTAGGTTGGTTACTAACTAAAAATTATTAATAATTATAAAATATTTGTAACCACATTATAAAACAAAGTAAAATAAATGTAAATAATATATAAACATGAATATTTCTTGAAAAATTTAAAATATAAATATTACACTATCAACATTAAAAACATGGAACATTTCAAAACATACATAAAATATTTTTTAAATTGTAAGTCATATAATATTTGACTGCATTAAAATATATCGAAATTTGTTTCGGATAAAATAATGTACCAACTACCAACAATCAATATACATGGCTGGATAGGACTATAGATAATATAAGAATGGATAGGCCATTCCTATTTTAACAAAATAAGGGGTCGCGGTTCGGAATATGGATGAGAGAGAGAGAGACTGATTTTTATAGTGCTCTCACTCCACCAAGGGGTTTTAAATTCTGGTGGCCTATCCATTCTTAAAATATTATCTATAGACTATAGATGGGATCCTCTTTCTGCGCCGTTTATATTAAAAGTGCTTCCATGTAGAATAGTGTTTCATTAGATTTTATGATTACATTTTAGGAATCATTGATTAAGTATTTTACATAGTATTTTTTTTCATTCTTTTCTCCTGTTAATTTTCTTGATTAAGGAATTAGCAAACTATGTAACGAGCACATAATTATCAGATATTTTGAATCTGAAAATACAGTAAATAAAAAAATGGTTAGAAATTATCTGAATGGTATGTTATCTTATTTATAAAATTTTGATTACAGTGAATAATACTGGTACTACATATAGTACATGCTCAATAGGCAACACTGGGCACTAACTAATAAGTTTTAATTCATATTAACTTTGTAACTTAACTAGTTGCATTCAATGTGTAAAATGATCTAATCTAACTCGTTAAAAATAAAAAGTATGTAACTAGTTATTTTTGTAGTTTTTTTTTCATTTATTGAATTTTTCAATCTCTTGTTTTATTAAACTTTCTATATTGTAATGACTGACATTCCAAGAAATTAAGGATATTACCTACCAATTTGAAATATTTGATTAAACTATCAGTTGACAGTTGTTAAATTTACCTGAATTTAGTAAATTTCAGAAACTTAGTTAGTTACTTTTTATATTAAAGTAACTTAACCCATTAGCGCCGAAATTTTTTTTTTTATTTTTTTTATTTTTTTATTGGTCAAATTCCCAATGAGAAATTAGCTTCTAAAAATAGGTCTACCTATGTTGCCATATGGCAACGCACGGCGCTAATGGGTTAACTTTAACTAGTTGAGAAAAGTGAATACATTTTGCTCAGCTTTGCCAATAGATAGGTATTTATATTAAAATATTATCCTTTATTAGATAGTATCTATTAGTTACTAAAAGATAAAGTACCTACTATCTATTATAATGGCTCTATTTTTACGGCTTTAAACAAATTTATAATATTGTGAATTAGTGTTAAACAAATCATAATAATTTAACAAACACTTCAATACCAACATATCATTAGGTATATAATATTATGATTTTTGTTATAAGGAGTGTCTGAATATTTAAATTTTGGGTACCAGTAAAATAAACAAAATAAAATATTTTATACTGTTATTTATGGAGTACTTACTATTGGTTAAATCTTGTGTGTTGGCATTATTATTTATCTGTTCATCCAATATTTTAATGCGTTTTAGAGACACTGCTTCAATATTTATAGTATATTCTGTTAAAGTCAATATCTGTCTAGAATTTAAAACAATACTTATTAGTTATTTTTGATTGAATACATTACAAATATTATTATGTAAGTACCTGATTGTATAGAACCAATGTCCACAGAAGTTAGTGTTGCAATGGAAAATGCATGATTAATTTATTCTCGCACAGTGTATTTGGTAAAATCTTTTCTACCATATTCATCATAAGTGGATTTTTTGACAAAGGAATAAATACACTATGTAAAAAATATACTATAACCAATATTTTTGAATCTGAAAAATGAATAACTTGTAAAAAATTTTCTATTTTAAAACATACAAATAAATATTAACAAAAACATTTAAAGTTAAACTCCAAGATCACCCACCCTGGTATTTGTAGGTAGGTACTAAATAATGTAGATTATACTATACTTATATACATTTATAAGAATCATATTTCAACGGTTTTATACTGAATTTACCATTTTTTTTTACTATAGAATATTATTATAATACAAAATATTAGTACAATAATACCTACCTATTGGAAATAATTTATTTGTTATATTATAATATGCATTCTAGATTTATTCATGTGGGTATAAAAAATGTATGATTTTGACATTTCTTTAGTTGCTGAAAATTAAACTAAGCTGCTATTGAATCTTAAGTAGGTACAAAATGTACCTTACATTGTATAAGCAAATAGTTTTGAAATATTACCTAGCGACAAATTGTGAAGCGTAATATTGAATGATTTTTCAAAAATTGAATTTAAATTAGAATTGCCTGTACATTTACTTTGTATATCAATATCAACCTAGAAGATATATCAAAGCAGTAAATTAAAAATACAATAATGATCCCTTAAATACTACATTCTAAAATTTACTAATAAATTACTTATTATTATGTACAATACATTATTAATTGTTATATATTACCAAATAAATCCATAATTTTTATCCACATTGTGTCATTGTTCAAATGGTGTTGAAATATTTTTAATACAATTTACCTTTTGGGGAATTCAAGGCATCATTACCACTATAATGTCACTATAATGTAGGCTCCACAGTTCTACAGTTCTATAATCTATTGATGAAAATATTGTTATTTGTACGTCGTATGTTGTGGTCTCCTTACAATCCTTATAATTATTATTAGCTCCTAGAATCACTATTTAATAATATGAATATTTTTATTTTTATTTAATTTCTGTGTTAAAGAGAGCTGTCTCTTGGGGCCTACAAGTTTCTAGCTATGCCACTCCTTCTTAGTTAAATTTTATTTACTAACCAGCCATAGGTACCATTATACTTCAATTTTTTCTCCAAGAAATTCCACATCTTATATTTACTAATAAATTACTCATTATTATGTACAATACATTATTAATTGTTATAAATGACCAAATAAGTCCATAATTTTTATCCACATTGTGTCATTGTTCAAATGGTGTTGAAATGTTTTGAATACAATTTAACTTTTGGGGAATTCAAGGCATCATTACCAAAATGTATTTCCTATAATAAGTCACAATAGAAATGTATTTATTTAATAGGTATTTTATTAGGTAACTACTTTAACTTATGACTTATATTACCTTGATTTTAGAATGAAAAGTTCTAACAAATTGCACTGGCTATAGAATAGGTACTATAAAACTGTCATTACAAAGCCATTTTTGATTATATCCCACCAACATATTTTGACAACTTTTGTTTAAAACATTATTCTTTGTAAAGTTACCTCATTAGGATTATTGAAAAACTGTGTTTTTTGATATTATGTCATCATTAGACCAGCAATGTTTTGAATAATATGAACTTGTTCAATATTAGAGTGTAAATTAGTATATCTAAAAATATTAAAGTGAAACATTTAGTTTCAACATGCGTAGTAAATTTTTTTTCAATTTTACCTATACAAGATGTGTATACTGATTCTAAATTCCATTCTAGAAGCAAATGCATCGACTGTTAATTGTAATGAAATTCTGGAATTCTTCTATTTATTCCATTCTATGTACTTGTATTGTTTTGAGATGAATTAT